AGCCCCATTCATGTCTTCAATATTCACCTGCATGAGACCCCTTCATGTTCTCAAGAGGCAAGAAGTAAGTAAAGAATACTGAAGCCCCATTCATGTCTTCAATATTCACCTGCATGAGACCCCTTCATGTTCTCAAGAGGCAAGAAGTAAGTAAAGAATACTGAAGCCCCATTCATATCTTCAATATTCACCTGCATGAGACCCCTTCATGTTCTCAAGAGGCAAGAAGTAAGTAAAGAATACTGAAGCCCCATTCATGTCTTCAATATTCACCTGCATGAGACCCCTTCATGTTCTCAAGAGGCAAGAAGTAAGTAAAGAATACCGAAGCCCCATTCATGTCTTCAATATTCACCTGCATGAGACCCCTTCATGTTCTCAAGAGGCAAGAAGTAAGTAAAGAATACTGAAGCCCCATTCATGTCTTCAATATTCACCTGCATGAGACCCCTTCATGTTCTCAAGAGGCAAGAAGTAAGTAAAGAATACTGAAGCCCCATCCATGTCTTCAATATTCACCTGCATGAGACCCCTTCATGTTCTCAAGAGGCAAGAAGTAAGTAAAGAATACTGAAGCCCCATTCATGTCTTCAATATTCACCTGCATGAGACCCCTTCATGTTCTCAAGAGGCAAGAAGTAAGTAAAGAATACCGAAGCCCCATTCATGTCTTCAATATTCATTTTCCCGATTATTAGAAACTATTACACTTCTGATGTTAAAAATTATTCTCAAAAGTATTTACATAAAATAATGTTACTCGTATTAGGATTTACTCTGAAGGTTGATTGTTAAAAATAATAAAATTGTGAGAGCGGATGTTCAACTTGCTCTCTTGCTTACGCAATTGATCATTATCAGGAATAAGACAGCGTACAGCTCTACACATTCAGTATAGAGCAAAATACAGTTTGACCAACCGTAATATGTACCAGACACAATCACATATTAATGTAACGTGAAGGACATAATTACATGATAACACCAAAGTATGTAAAGCAACAGCTACAGTAGTCCGCTTGATGTAACACCGGGCAACACGATCTTCCTTGCTTACACTAGAAGAACTACTACACCGTATCTCCGTGTGGAGGTAATGTTTTAGCCCAACGGGCATAATAACGATATGTGACTAGTAGAGTTACAGACTGACTGATCCCTCTTAGTCGACTGCGTGATACTTTATACTGCTAAAACAAGTGGGAGATTATAGTTCTACCTTCAACATTTCTTATTTTATTTTATTATTTTACCCTCATTCCTAACACGGCCTTTCCTGACAATTCACACGTCCCCGTGTGAAGCCTAGAGTAACGTTACCGGCTTTAATGTAACTTTACCGTCTCGGCCTTTTCTGACCATGAAATACATTCTAAGTTTTTGCAGAATTGAAAACATCGTTCAAATCAGATTTTAGTATACAACTTCATACTAGAGCTTAACACGCACACTGCACAGATCGCACTATACACTGAAGACACAGGGCACCCAGCTAAACGCACTCCAGCAAGCGGTTCCGCTGCGTTCAGCACTCGCGCAGCACGCGCGTCAGCGGGCATTCGCGTAGCACTCGTGGCAGTGAGCTGTCTCGGCGCACTCGCACTAGCGAGCTGTCTCGGCGCACTCGCACTAGCGAGCTGTCTCGGTGCACTCGCACTAGCGAGCTGTCTCGGCTTCAATACTGTAGGAATAGGCACCAAGTTTGCATACCCCTCAGTGGCCCTCAGTGGCTGTTGACGTAGAGACAATGTTAGCGTATCACACAGACTTCAACACTGTAGGCATAGGCACCAAGTTTGCATACCTCTCAGTGGCTGTTGACATACAAAATTGGCGCTAATTATTACCTGAAACCTTTTTCATATTGGATTTTACTAAAAGTAGTTTTTATGTAAAATTTTATGTACACAACAGCCCAAGTAAAGGACATGGAAACAATTACGTTAGATGCACAAGCGTGCACTCAAGTACATCCAACACTGATTTCAAAAAATAGATGACTAAAGTAATTCAAGATTGGAATAAATGTAAAACGTTTCAGGTGCATGAAACAAATAATTTGCTTTACAAAATTAAAAGAAATACCATAGAATTCCAGACTCCTAAGATTCACCACACATTGTCATAAGAAATGCTAAACGGTAACTGTGTGCATGGCATTCAGAAACCACTATACACATTGCAAATAGAAAGCTGCATGTAAAGGCGTAGGCCAGGCTGTGCGCCAGTAACAGACTGCGACGCACCCAGCGTGGCCGCTGCGACACGTAGAAGCGCCACACGACACCATGGACACACAGCACATTCCATAGGTAGCCGCCATAAGGCAAGCGCACGTGGCCAAAACAACAACATAGGGCTTGCCGCACTCGCACAGCGAGCTGTCGCGCCGCACCAGCGCCAGCGAGACGCTGCGCCACGTCACGTACTCGAAGCGTCAACAGGAGCAGCACCCGAGATCTCAAAAGCATAGTCGGGGTTGTAGTCATCGTGACCTGCCTTTACATAAATTTAAAATACAGAAATTATTAAATAAATGTTACTCATCCCAGGATCAAGTTTCCCAAGCGCTCGGCGGCGCCCGGCCGTCCGGCCTCAAGAACCGCCAAGAAACAGCAACTTATAGCGGCGTAGCTTCAACCTTACCAAGGCTCGGCCACGCACCTGACCATGTCCAATTAGCCGTCGACTATTTGGAGTAAACTGTAACACTTATCGACACATTAGAATACAAACAGGCTATTTTTTTTTTAAATTCATAGCACGTTAAAGTTAATCCTTTGTTTGATATATCGCTTAAACATTTCAAACTTTAAAATTAATGGGCTACATTATTTCGTAGGCTACGTATTTTCATATCACTTCACAAAACATCAAAACAGTCAACAATTACAATAAAACTCGAACAAGTTAAATTTTCACTGGATGCAAACTAACAAATTTAGTTAAAACCTCTTTTCAACATTTCTTTCAACATTTGTTAACATATTTGGATATGTTAAGGAATAACAAAAGTACATGCGGGTACCTCTAATATAAATCGACAAATCGAACAAAGAGTTTTAACTTATTGCTCAAAACATTTGACTTTAAGCTTTTACTTTACACTTTACTGGTACGTCCATATCGTAAATAGGACATCAAATTTAACTACTCTCAAGTCTTTCAAGAACGTATTAAACAAAAGGATCTAACTTTTGGCTTAAAACATTTCACTTGTATACTCTCACTCTACACTTTAATGATTCGTCCATGTCGTAAATATGACAACAAACTTGATTTAAGAAACTGAACATAAAAACAAAACGCGAGGCGCGTCATATTCTTTCACCAACGTAATAACCCTCACAATATTCAAAGTTTATACGTGGACAGTAACAGGGACTTTATCCCACTTCTGATTTGTTAGCAAATAATACAATTACAATATATCACTTTTATTACATCCGTTTATAACTCACAATTTATTTATCGTACAAATAATCACTTCTACTCTTATTACCTTCACTATATCTTTACACAAAACAATCAAGTCTCTTAAGTTTCAACACCTTAGAACTGAATGCCTAGCTTGGGTCGTGACGGCCATTTATATCCTTCTTTTTGTTAGAAGTCAAATCCGAAACTATTACAATAAAAATCTTACCGGAAATTCAAAGCTACAAAAGCGGAAATTCGATTTACATTTATTAAAGTTAGATGTATATTTCAAGAGATAACTACATTAAAATTAGGATAATTCAATATATTATGCTTAATTGTTCTTTATATTTAATTGCTAACAAATGCTACAGTATTTCGTATGCTAATTGAAAAGATCTGCCAACTCTTTTTTGTACTGGTAAATAGGTTTTTCATCATAGTTCTCAGGGTGACTTCGCGTCTGCTTCACGATTCTCATTTGAGGATAGATGGTATATATCTATGGACCACATTATCCACTTATCTGCAGGACGACTGTGTGCCTGCTTGTTACTTTATTTAAATAAAATATATTTATATAAACGAATAATAATGAAAATATTGATGGTATAAAAATAATAAAATACATCGTTATAGATTACAGCAATATCTGTGTAGCACAAGCAATCACGTTGAACTTTTTGCAATAACTTTAATGAATACCAAAGTGAGGAAATGGCAACTTATTATTTAATCAGGTAGGGGAAGGTAGTCAATACACACGGAACAATTCTATGGCAACTCCCTAGTTTATTAAAAAACTACAAATACAAACCCCATTATATCGTGCACGTATTTTCATCAGAACATTTGTGATAAAAGGGCATTTCTCGTAGACTAAGTTTTCTAAAAATACTTTCTCTTCAGTCTGCAGTCCCCTATTGGATAAGTGCCTTGCCTATCTTTTCTTTAATCATCAGCCCATTATGTACACTATCGAGCATGGGCATAATACGTTGTAGAGAAGATTTGCCGTGATCGACACACTTGGCAGTATGCTCCGTACTCGCCTCTTTAGACATTCATAATAAGAATTAGGCTCATACATCACTAACGCCGCCCCATATGGCGAATTTTAAAACTTTTAGAGTTAAATATCCAGCACATTAACGTGAATAAATACTTATACTACGCTTAGTACCGCCGATCCACCTATTCAAAAAATTATAGCAATATCTTTAAACTTAGGAAAGATATGTTTTAGTAATAAACGAATATAGGCTGACCAGTAGTATATTTCGCTTTCGGTCGAAATTTGATCAGCCCCATACTATTTAAAACGCTTCGAATATCCATCCACCTGTACCTACAATTTATTCATTTTAATTGTTTTTACATTTTAGTCTTAAAAATAACACGAATTATAATGAAAAAAAAAAGAAAATGTTTGCCAATAAAGGAATCTCAAGCCGTGTGGCGAAAGAGATTTCAATAAATGTGTAAAACCACAAATCCACAAATTGTTGGTTCTCTGAACTGCTTCTGATCTGGCCAATTCGTAATTTTATGTCTTATATTGTCTTCTCTTTTTTTTTCAGAAACAAGCTCTTCGGGCGAACATGCAGCGAAGTATTCCTTCATCATTTTAACGAGCATCGTCAACATCGCGATGCAGAAGATCTCGTGATACTAATATGCTCTGAGTTTATTTAAACCCACGATCTTAATAAGATTATAATCAGATATGACATCAATTTAGCCCAAACCAACAAAAAAAGATATACGGATCGCATATTACCTTTTAAGTGACACAGACGCACGAACACATCTTTTTGCTTACTTTTTTAACAGCCCGTAAAAGTCACAATTAGATTCACACATAGACACTTGAAACCAACCAACGAGCACACAGTCCACCTAATTGTAAGTGAATGCTGTGGCCCATGCGTTGTTGTTACCTTTGACGACTAAGATGGGTGTTTCATTTTCAGTAAAACTGGTCTCCGGTTCTTCCTACTAACCATTCGAAACACAGAAGCATTAAGCTGGTATTTTACGCTCGTATTCTGCGAGAGTGTGGTCATTCCCCGGTCGAACCGACAAATTCGTGCAACAACCATAATGAAGCTGCAGCGTCACTCTACCATGTATAAAAACACCATTATTATACATTTGCAACATACAATGTGTGCGTGAGTGTGTGTCCTTACAATAAGTTGAGCATGGTTTTGACTTAGTTGCGGTATCACTTAAAATGTGCAGCGCGCCGTCTAACTTTCTTTGTTGCTATGAACAATTTTGTAACAAACATAATAAAATGTGAAAAGGAATGGAAATTTCATTAAATGTTACAACGTCTGTTGTAACCTATTTAAATCTCGTACTAGTTAAAATGCAAACAACGTTTTAAATAGATTGAAACGCAATTTTAATTTGAATATAGCAGACTGCTATTTTAATTTAGCATAAGAAACGACATCATAGTTTTTTATAAGTGTTCTGAAAATCTAATTTACTTCATGGCAAGTTCACTTTGTCAACATTCCATAAAATCGTTTTACTACTAGTATATTAACTTTTAATGTAAATAAACTTTCAATGTTTCTTAAAATGCCTTTTTCTTGTAGTATAATTAATAAGGACAATGAAGATGATGATTATGATGACGATAAGAATAGTAATGATAAAAATTATGCCTCGTTCCAACCGTGAAAGAGTGAATTTACATAATTAACAAACCAACATAATTAGCGGCCAAACTGGACCAAACGAACGGATCTTAAAACGAATTGGACACGCTTGTGTTTCGTAATGTTAACAAACTGTTTTACGCCATTTTTTCCCCTTAGAACGTAAACAATAAATTCGACCGAGCAATAAGTGTTTTTTGCAAGTAGATAAAATATAGAAAAAAAAAAACATTAAAATCAGTTTTTTGCTATCATTTCAAAAACGGTACGAACACTACGGGTAAATATTTCAAATAAAAGTTGAAGATTATTTTATTTTATATAAAAATTTTACTTTATCTTATTCCACTCATAGTTATGTAGTTAAATTGCGTTAAATTTAAAAAAAAGTAAAAAATGATTATGCTACTATGACATGGTAGAGCCATGCTGCAGCTATATTAGTAGTATAGTTGTAGCACGAATGGGTCGGCTCGACCGGGGAAGGACTACGTTCTCACAGAAAACTAGCGTAAAATAGCATTTTAACGCTTCTGTGTTTCGTATGGTGAGTGTAGAGAACCGGAGACCCTTTTTACTGGCAAAGAGGCATTCCATCTTAGTCCTCACGGGTGACAACGCATCTGCATCTTGAGTCTTTATTGAGGATAGATGTCTATGGGTCACAGTAACCAATTATCATCAGGTGGACTGTATGCTCATTTGTCACCCTATCCTATAAAAAAAATGCTCCAAAACATTATGAGATAGAAGATAACATGTGAGGTATTTTTTGTGTAAAATTGAAAAGGAATTAAGTTTTGTATGAAAATTTTTATCTCTTAAAGTTTTTGAGATAAGTAATCATCAAAACAATTTTTGTTTTCTGTTTTACAACTTAAAAAAAACGCCATGTTTTTAGATAAGATATAACTTGGATGACTCCTGTCGTTACACTCTATCTGTTAGTAAAGTGATGTTGTAAAGTGATGAAAATCGGTTCAGCCGTTATGAAGTTAAGCCCGGACAGACCAGACAGACAAACAAACAAAATTTAAAAAATACTTTATATTTACAATACTTCATAGCATGAATATAAGCCCCGGCTTAATAGGAAGCAGCTATTTTAGTATTACAGACAGACACTTAAATTTCTCATCGTACCCATTCATAAGAAAGGGTCTAAAACCCAAGTAGAAAGTTGCAGAGGTATCTTGATTCTTAATACATTAAGTAAGGTTTTTGAAAAAATTATTTATAGCAATATTTACCCCATAATAGCCCAACAAATACCCGAGAATCAACACGGTTTCCTTAAAAAGCGATCGACTGTCACTAACCTGGCTTGTTTCTCAGAATACATGATTGTATGTATTCTGAGAAACAAGCCAGGTTGATATGGAAAATGGTGGGCAGGTGGATGTGATCTACACACACTTTGAGAAGGCATTTGACCGGGTAGATCACTCCATACTCTTAAACAAACTAGGGAAACTTGGCATACACGGGGATCTTCTAAGATGGATAGAATCATACTTAAGTATACGTTGCCAGGCGGTTGTGGTGGGTGGATTCAGATCAGATTACACAGAAATACCCTCCGGTGTCTCCCAAGGTTCGCACTTGGGACCTCTCTTCTACAATGCGTACATTTACGACTTGTCTAACTGTCTCATGCACTCTAAACATCTGATTTACGCAGACGATAAAAATATATTATTGAGAATAAATGGCATCAATGATTGTTATACGATACAGGCGGAACTGGACGCATTGTATAATTATTACATAACTAATAAGATAACAGTGAAAGCCAAAAAATGCCAGTGCATATCTTTTACTCGCAAAGCAAACCCTATTTTACACACATATAATTTTAATGGAGTTCCCATTGAAAGAGTCAATTTGGTTCGTGACCTAGGAGTTTACCTCGATAGCAAAATGTCATTTACTTATCACATCAACTTAGTCACAAAAAAGTCATATAAAAACTTGGGATTCGTCTTGCGAACCTGCAAGACATTTAAGAATATAGGTTCACTGAAGATTGTATACTATGCATATGTGCGTAGTCTGTTAGAATATGCTAGTCAAATTTGGTCTCCTCAATACAAGGTCTACAAAGAACGCCTAGAGCGCATACAAAAAGTATTTCTAAGACATATCTCGTATCGGTGTCGTCGGTCGCACGAATCATATACTCGAGCCTGCCACGAAAATAATCTATTAACTTTGGAAGAAAGACGGGATACACTAGATGTCTGCTTCCTATTTGATATTGTTGGGGACAGAGTAGACTGTTCAGATCTGTTGCATAAAGTAGCATTCTGCGCTCCTAGGCGTCGAACACGTCACACACCGCTATTCAATGTGCCTCAACGTCGCACTAACTACGGTTCGAATACTGTCATGGTTAGGTTACCCCGAACATACAATGCAAAGTTTAGCCATGTTGACTTATTTCGCTCAAGCAAGTTAAATTTCAAAAAGAAGGTGACAGACATCATCAAAAACTCTCACAAAATTTAAACGCTATAAACAAAAGTTGTACTTTAACCTTTACATTTCTTTTTTGTCTTTGCCTTCTGTCATTGTCTCTGTTTACGTTTATAATGGGTGGTACTAATATATTACTTTCGCAAACATGTAGAATGTATTTCTCTACCTAATTTGTTTTGTGTGGTGTACAGTTTAGTTTAGTATCTACTTAACTATCTATAATATTGATAGGTTTAAGCGGATGGCATCCTTAAATTCCATAATATATTTATAGAGTTAACTTTAGCACTAACAAAGTTTGATTGTTACAGTGCCATTTGTTAATTTAAGGGAAACCTGTTATTGGCAATACTACATTACATATAGTTATAAGATATATAATTTGTAAAGCTGTTGGTTTTCTTAATAAAATAAAATAAAAAATAAAATAAAAAGAATTCGTTGATAGACTTAAGCATCAAAATGACCGTTAGATGAATCATCTGCTGTAAAACGTAGTCTACGGACATACCAGCTTCGCCAACATTTGCGTAAAATTCACCATTTTGATTCCAATAAACCTACTTCAAATACGTGACTGAAAATTTGTGCAAACAGTCCATAAACACCACCGAACGAAACCGGTTGAAACATAATATCGGTGTACACGTCGTACGCTGAGGCGCTAGTGTAATTGTCACCACTACACACGTCAGGAAGTCATGAATAATAGTATTCTATGAGCATAAGCGATACTAGAAAGATTGAGCCATTTTGCATATCAACAGATAAGAATTTGGTCAAAATAATCAAGCTCCATCACCAATTACTGGTACCTCGATGCAGGGTGTTATATATTGCCATTAATATTCAGTTTCGTTATAGTTTAAACTCAAAATTTTCTCTTAATACCGATATTATTCTCTACCGAATGGTATGAATATAATATTTCAATGTTTTTGACGAATTTGGCCTAAAGGACTTTATTAATTAATGGGTATCGTGGAAACTGCAACATAAAAATACATTAAAAAAATATTGTCGTTATGCGCACCAGCTATTCCTCGTTTCGTTATAGCTCAAGATTTTCTCTTAATACCGATATTATTCTCTACCGAATGGTACGAATATAATATCACAATGTCCTGCACAGATGGCTAGTCTCTTTTGAGTTATTACACTTCGAATTTAGACTAGCCGCAATGACCGAATTCGGCCTAAAGGACTTTATTAATTAATGGGTATCGTGGAAATTACAATATAAAAATACATTAAAAATATAATAATATTGTCGCTATACGCACCAGCTATTCCTCTAGTATTGCAGGTTTTTTTTACAGGATAAGGGTAACAAACGAGCATACAGTCCACCTGATGAAAAGTAGTTGCTGTGGCCCATAGACACCTACATCCATCGTCAACAACGAATCAAAATGCAGGTGCGTTTTCACCCGTGAGGACTAAGATAGAATGCCCCATTTCCAATAAAAGGGGTCTCCGGTTCTCTACACTCACCATACGAAACACAGCAGCGTTAAGC